GGGTGTTTAGTGAGCTCCCATTCTCTCATATGTTATTATTGGGCCTTTTTTTTTTTTTCGTTAACGAAGTACGCTAAAGACAGAAAGAGTGGAAACACACACACAAGGGAGGAAAGGCAATGGGAAAGAAAGGGGTAGAAGAAAGATTCTTTCAGTATTTGGAATATCCTTGACTTAGCGCAATCCCTACTTGTTTCTTAACCACGAGCTATTTGCTAAAAACCTCAAGCCTGAACGGAAACCTAAGCCACGGGTCTCTCCACCCGGAAACCTAAACCACGGGGCGCTGCCCGGAAACCTAAACCACGGGTCTCTGCCCGGAAACCTAAACCACGGGTCTCTGCCCGGAAACCTAAACCACGGGTCGCTGCCCGGAAACGTAAACCACGGGTCTCTGCCCGGAAACCTAAACCACGGGTCTCTGCCCGGAAACCTAAACCACGGGTCTCTGCCCGGAAACCTAAACCACAGTACTGCTTCAAGACTAACCCTAGTGTGGGGCCCCAATTGTGAACCTCCCCTCTACCTTCCACAACAGCCTCCTGCCTAGCCTTTGAGACTAAGTTTGGGCTCCCTACTGGACGCCTGCGCTGTGCAGTGCCAGATTGGGGGTCCGAGAAAACAAAGTTTTGAAAGGGGAGCAAACGACCTTGCGTTCTCACATACCCAGGTCATCCCTAACAAAGGTCGCCAGGCAGGAGGGGAAGCTTCATTTGCATAGTTAGGGTAGGTGGAGAGTAAGAGAATACTTGAAAGACTCCTCTGGACGACTCCGAGAGAGGGATGTCAGAGAAAAACAGTAAAGAGCCACGCTTTCCCGGACTCAATTCCAAGACGGAAAACGGGGGAGAAAAGGGATAGAGAGATTAAGACGTTCCTGGACGACCCCGGGGGGAACGTCGGAAAACAGCAAAAGGTACCACAATTTCCCCGGCCAAGCACCACGTAAGAATTTGTGGGGAGAGAAAGGGAAAGGTTTTGACGTTTCTAGACGACTCCGAGAGATAACGTCAGACAGAAAAGTTCCGCGATTTCCCTGGCCACCCTCCGAGGGGGAGAATCGGGGGAGAAAAGGATAGAGCTAAAACGTTCCTGGCCGACCCCGAGAGGGAACGTCGGAAATGAAAGAAGGAAAGTCTGGCTGTCGTGGAGATGTTCCTTTTCCACCCCCCTCCCAATGTATTTACTTCAAACCATACTCACGTTCGAAGATGTCCCCCGCGAATCTCAGGATCCTTTTCTTTTTAGCCGGCTTGACCTCGCCTTTGCTCCCCTGGTTGAGCTTTTGGTGACGATTGATTACCGCCCGCAAAGAGGAGGCAGGGAGAGGAAGAAGGATCTCTGGGCTAAGGTTGCCCAGTGGCGCCTGATCCCCCCTATCTCCCTCCTCACCTCTGCAGGAGAACCAAGTGTCCCTTCGTGGTCGCCAACTGTTAACGGAAAAATCCGAGGGCTCTCTTGGACAAAAACAAAGACACCAACCAGGATAACTTGGAGCAAAACAGCAGCCTGTAGGCTTGGCCTTTATTGAACTGTTGCAACAGGGTATTCCCCTCACTCGCAGGAGAGAGGAAAAGACCCAGAACAATGGCCTGCAAGACCTTATAAAAACTTTTGAAATTCCCCTCCTCCAGGTCAAGCCCACCCCCAGAAACATCATGCATACATTACAGAAGGGGTTGACATCATGCATACATTACAGAAAGGAGGGGTTGAGGGAGGAGTTGTGGTGGTAACCTGAGTGTCCTGTCACCTGGCTGGTTCCTCCTTTCCCCCTCCCCATGAGTACTTTCCAGGTGACAAAGGGGAGTTTGCAGTTTCCTGCCCCCAGAGGGAAGATCTGATCATTGTCCTTTGTTTCAGTCCATGCCGAATCCACTACCATATGCAAGTTCTTTGTCATTTTGATTGTCTTCTGTCTGGGATTATCAAGGCTGACATAGCAACTGGGCAGGGCCCCTGTGGATGTGCTGGTATGCTGAAGGGATCATGGCTGACCAGAAACCAAGCCACCCCCACCCCCCTTTGATAGTCCTTGTCACATGGAGTAAAATAAAATGGAACAGTGCAAATCCGATGTATGGTTGATTTTCTATGAATTTATAACAGAAATGTGGCGTATGTAGTGTGTGAGTGTGTGTGTGTGTGAAGTTTGCACAAACAGAATGATTGGGGTGGGGGGTTTCCTGCTACACCATGTCAAGAGCATGTTGGCAGGATACACACACAATAACACACCAGTGTGGAGGAGCCCAGGCTCATTATTGTACTACTTCAAAGGCTCAGATTTACCAAGCAAGCTCTCAGTGTAGACCTCCCTTATGCACTCAGAAGCAGATCTTGCGCACAATTTCTGGTCTTGCCCACATATTCAAAAAACTGGAAAGGAAACCTTGACTGCAGTTCCAACAAATCACAGGATGCCAGTTGTCAACAAGCCCCCACAACCCAAATATTTACTTCATTAAAGTGAAATAGTAAAATACTAACTTAGAAGCGTTATGCCGTGTCTTATCACTGTTCTGTTTAGCTGTCATGCTTACATTGACTCACCACAGTGCTCCTATGTTTTAAGCCCTTTATAGAGCATTTGGGTTCTATAAGTTCCTATTTAATTCAGCCCACTATTCAGGATCCATTAATTTTTATGGAAAGGTCCAGAGTTCAATGGGATACTTTTGCATGCCCAAGGTCCTTGATTCAATTCCCGGCATCACCTGATAGGACCAGTCTTTAAAGTTACTGCCAGTTGGCATAGTTGATATTGAGCTATATGGACCAGCGATTTGACTTGATACTGCTTATATCGGCTTCTGCATCGGTATATTTTTTAAATACCAGTGTAAATTAAATAAGGTCTGGGTAATATGCAGTGGGATAAGCCGTAACTGTCAGAAAGCCATGCAGAAGGTTTCAGTTTTGATTCCTGTTACCTTGTAAGATGCCACCGGAAACTCTGGAAAGGCATTGCCACAATGTGAGCTGGACCAGTGAAACGCCTGACTTGGAATTTGGCAGCTTCCTATGTACTTCTCAATACTAAATATGATCAAGTAAAAGGAAATAATCACTACCTCATTTTGTTCTAAACCGGTGTGTGTATGTATGTATATATATATATATATGCGCACCATGGAATGTCGGATAAATGGTGGTGATTACGAGAAGTAAGGATTTATGTACTGTTTATTAGCAGCGCCCTACCTTACAAGGGATGTGGGTGGCACTGTGGGTTAAACCACAGAGCCTAGGACTTGCCAATCAGGTGGTCAATGGTTCAAATCCCCGCGACAGGGTGAGCTCCCCTTGCTCAGTCCCTGCTCCTGCCAACCTAGCAGTTTGAAAGCACACCAGTGCAAATAGATAAATAGGTACCACTCCGGCGGGAATGCAAACGGTGTTTCCGTGTGCTGCTCTGGTTTGCCAGAAGTGGCTTAGTCCTGCTGGCCACATGACCCGGAAGCTGTACGCCGGCTCCCTCGGCCAATAAAGTGAGATGAGTGCTGCAACCCCAGTTGGCCACGACTGGACCTAATGGTCAGGGGTCCCTTTACCTTACATGGTTTTTTGTAAAGATTACAACAAAATGTCCAGAAAGCCATTTGAATGCTCAAAGTTCTATACTTGTTATTTAAAAAAAATGTAGGGGAACATCACTTATCAAATAATATTTAGTTGGTTATCTGTCTTTATACAACACACTTCTTTCCTGGATATTCTGGAAAGGAACTGTTGTCCTCACTAATGTGTATGGTTGACTATTTTCTTGCTTCTTATTACATAAATACGTGGCAACCAAAACTCCATATTTCAAAATAAATATTTTCCCCCTCCCCACCCTTCATTGGTTACCTATGGGACCACCTCTCCTGGTATGCCCCATGGAGGACCTTAAGGTCCATAAATAGCAACACCCTAGAGGTCCTGGGCCCTAAGGAAGTCATATTAGCCTCAACCAGAGCCAGCGCCTTTTCAACACTGGCTCCATGAGACCAGGGCCCTGCGGGATCTGATCTCTTTCCGCAGGGCCCATAAGACAAGAGTTGTTCTGCCTGGCCTTTGGCTTAGAATCAGTTTGATTCCCACCCCCTTTCTCCTCCTGTGAAGAGGCTGCATCCTAACATTTTAATGTTGTATTTTAATCTTGTTTTTTAAATTGTGTTTTAATAAACTTGTTTTATTATTGGTTGTTAGCCAACCTGAGCCCAGTCTTGGCTGGGGAGGGCAGGGTATAAATAATAATAATAATAATAATAATAATAATAATAATAATAATAATAATTTTTCCAATGGGTTAACTCAGCAACCAGCCGGTTCCCCGACAACTGGAATCCAGTCTAGAGGTTTGCCACGTGGTAACTTAGCCGCGTTTAAAAGTAGAGACATCACCTTACCAACAAAGGTCCGTATAGTTAAAGCCATGGTTTTCCCAGTAGTGATGTATGGAAGTGAGAGCTGGACCATAAAGAAGGCTGATTGCTGAAGAATTGATGCTTTTGAATTCTGGTGCTGGAGGAGACTCTTGAGAGTCCCATGGACTGCAAGAAGATCAAACCTCTCCATTCTGAAGGAAATCAGCCCTGAGTGCTCACTGGGAGGACAGATCCTGAAGCTGAGGCTCCAGTACTTTGGCCACCTCATGAGAAGACAAGACTCCCTGGAAAAGACCCTGATGCTGGGAAAGATGGAGGGCACAAGGAGAAGGGGGCAACAGAGGACAAGATGGCTGGAGACTGTTCTCAAAGCGACCAGCATGAGTTTGACCAAACTGCGGGAGGCAGTGGAAGACAGGAGTGCCAGGCGTGCTCTGGTCCAGGGGGTCACGAAGAGTCAGACACGACTAAACAACTCAACAACAACTTAGCCGCCTCTGAACACGTGATACCAAGTTATTGGGCTCCAGAAGCACGTGGCTCGCGAGAGGGGGCGTGGCGTTCGAGCGCAAAGAGCGGGAAATGGGCGCTTCGATTGACAGGCCGGCCGCGGCGCAGGCGCACTGGCGCCACTCCACCGCCCGGCTAAGATGGCGCTGGCTGAGGGAAACGCCGTGGCGGCTTCGGCGCCGGCAGACGAAGAGTCCGAGCCGCCGCCGCCGCCGCCGGCAGCACCGGGGGCGGCGGCAGCTGCTGCCACCTCCTCCGGCGCGGCCCGGCCGGCCCGACTGCCCCTGGCGCGTGTCAAGGCGCTGGTCAAGGCCGACCCGGACGTCAGCCTGGCCAGCCAGGAGGCCATCTTCATTTTGGCGCGCGCGGCGGTGAGCGACTGACTGAGGGAGGCGGTGGGCGGGGTCTCGTGTTTGCCTCGGCCAATCAGGAGGCCGACTGCGTTGGCGCGCGAGAGCGCGGCGGCGGTCGACTTAGGTTAAGGCGGTGGGCGGGGCTCCGCTTTTAAGCCTCCGCCAATCAGGAGGCCGGCTTTCGTGGTTGGCGCGCGCTGCGGCGGTTGACGTGAGTTGCCCTCGAGCTAAGGAAGTGGGCGGTCCTGCAGGGTTACGCCCTTGCCCAATCAGAAGGCTGTTTTCGTCTTCGGCTATGCGGGGACGGGTGGTTACGTAGGCCACCTGTGGCCAATCAGAAGCTTTTTGGAAGCTTCTGATTTGGAAGGAGTGGAAAGGATGGTGGGCGGGGCTGCGCCACTTTTGCCTGCGGCGATTGGCTGCAAGTTCTAACCACGTGGCGAAGAGGGGGTGGGGTTCTGCAAACATATTCCTGATGCTTGTTCTGTTATATACCTGGCCAGGTAATTCATTATTACATGATCCATAGGAATTAATTACAATTGTGGGTGTTCTGATTATAATTATGGCTATTCTTGAATGTCTATCATAATTGTGAATATTGGTGTGTCTAATACAGTAATCATGTAATTATTTTTCTAATGCTCATAATTAATATTATGAGTTTTAGCTCCCCAAATTGTTTATAAATCATCTTATGTTTGTATATTTCCTTGGGATACATGTAAAAGGCAAAGCCTAACTTGGGAGACAGGCAGGATTCATATTTTAAATAAATTCATATATTAATTTAATTTAATAATTTTTATTGTGCTAGCCGGAGGCCATGGCACCATCCAAACAAACAAACAAACAAACAAACAAACCAGCAGTCGCTGGATGGGCTAGCCGTCAATTGCAAAGGGGACTCTGAGATCTAATTTGCACACTTTGAGAATTACTTTTTATTCTTCGTAATAAGAAATTTTGGTGGATTTGACCATGGTTTTATATTAATTAATATAACAAATAAGGTAAAGGTAAAGGTACCCCTGCCCGTACGGGCCAGTCGTGTCCGACTCTGGGGTTGTGCGCCCATCTCACTCAAGAGGCCGGGGGCCAGCGCTGTCCGGAGACACTTCCGGGTCACGTGGCCAGCGTGACAAAGCTGCATCTGGCGAGCCAGCGCAGCACACGGAAATGCCGTTTACCTTCCCGCCAGTAAGCGGTCCCTATTTATCTACTTGCACCCGGGGGTGCTTTCGAACTGCTAGGTTGGCAGGCGCTGGGACCGAGCAACGGGAGTGCACCCCGCCTCGGGGATTCGAACCGCCAACCTTTCAATCGGCAAGCCCTAGGCGCTGAGGCTTTTACCCACAGCGCCACCCGCGTCCTGATAACGAATACTCTGCAGTAAATTACTGGTGATGCCATTTAATTATTGATGATTCTGGTTTGAGAGAACACTGATAGTAATATTAATAAAATAGGATGTTTTAGTATGACAGCATATACTATTGGTAGTGTTGCTGAGTGAGATTTTTATTGGTTAAGATAAAGCTATCGCCCCCGCTGTGGCTTTTGGATCTTCTAATAAACCAACTTGGTTTTCCATATTAATGCAAAGTATCAAAATACTGTTATACAAATCTATAGCATGAACGTGCTTGGAATACCATGTACTTCTTTGGACACAGGTGGCACTATGGCCTAAACCACTGAGCCTCTTGGGCTTGCCGATCAGAAGGTCAGTGGTTCGAATCCTTGTGACGGGGTGAGCTCCCATTCCTCTGTCCCAGCTCCTGCCAACTTAGCAGTTCGAAAGCACGCCAGGGCGAGTAGTTAAATAGGTAACTTTTTTGTAGGAAGGTAAATGGCGTTTCCATGCACTCTGGCTTCCGTCACGGTGTCCCGTTGCGCCAGAAGCGGTTCAGTCCTGCTGGCCACATGACCCGGGAAGCTGACTGCGGACAAACGCCGGCTCCCTCGGCCTGAAAGCGAGATGAGCGCCGCAACCCCCGAGTCACCTTTGACTGAACGTAACCGTCCAACTAAATAAGGATATTGTGAACTCAACTCAATAAGGATATTGTGAACTTGGGAAAGGCTCAGAAAAAGCAACCAAAATGATTGTGGTGGCGGAGACAACTCCCTGATGAGGAAGGGTTACAACATTTGGGGGCATTTCAGTTCAGAGAAAAGGCAAGGCAGCAGACATACAAGAAAGGTGTATCAAATTGTGTGGAGGAAGTGAACAGAGAGAAAAGTTTCTCTTTCTCTCTCCATAATATCAAAAGTCCTGGGCATCCAGCAAAGCCGAGTTTTTGATGATTCAGGACAGACAAAAGTAGATACTTATTTACAGTCCATAAAAACTGTTTTGCCCACTTTGCTTCCATCCTCACAGGAGTTGTTTGTGGAAACCATTGCAAAAGATGCCTACATCTACGCACAGCAAGGAAAACGGAAAACTCTCCAGAGGAAAGACCTGGGTAAGGAAGTAAAATAATAACAGTTTTATCATTTATACCCCGCTCATCTTGTCTTCCTAATTCTTAAGAACCAAAATTGACGCTGTGTGTATGTCTCGACAAGGTTACAACCAGAGGAATGCTTCATGGGTTATTAAAATGGGGTTGCCATATTTTGAAAAGTGAGCTTTTTTCTGTTTTGGAAAAGTTGTTGGGCTTTTTCTCTTTTTTTGCAACATCTCCAAAAAAAATAGTTTTAAAGCTATTTTTTAGGAAATTCACCAAAAACAATTAACACTTCCGATATGGGCTGCCATATACCTGGGTTTTCCTGGACATTTAAACTGATTTTCAAAAATTTCACCCAGAAACTATCTTCGGCGGGCGAATCCTAGATATGCCCAGGAAATTCCAGACGTATGGCAGCCTAAAACAAAATTAAAATAGCCGTACATAAAATATGCTTTGGTGGAAAATGAAGAACGTATTCCTACCTGTCCAAGGCATATCTGGGCTGTATTGAGTGCTTGTCCTGCTCAGACTAGACCCATTGGAAGTTAGTGTAACATGAGTAAGTTAGGTTCGTTAATTTAAATTGGTCTACTCTGAGTAGGGCCTGCATTGGATACAATCCTTATCCCGGCCCCCTTGAGCTGCTGTGCAGTTCACAAGAACGGTCACTGCTGAAGCAGGAGAGCAGTGCAGTTTCAGTGAATGGTTGGTTCAAATAGGTGGAGGAGAGGAATTTGCCCAGGACACACTTAATTGTTGTTTGCTGTGATGCTAAAGCCCGGATAGTTGTGGAATTATAGAATCATAGAATTGTAGGGTTGGAAAGGGACCTCAAGGATCATCTGTTCCAACCCCATGCAATGCAGGAATATTCAGCTGTCCCATACTGGAATCGAACCTGCAACCTCTTGGCATCATCAGCACCAAGCTCTAACCAACCGAGTGGAGAAAGAAAACAGCACAGGTTGTGGATTAGGAAGGGAGATGGTGGGGTACTTCTGTAGGCAAAACGGCTGCTCTGCCACTGAGCTATATTTTTTATATTATATTTTTATTAGTTTTCAAATACAAAAACAAATTTATACATTCCAGACATCTTAATTACATCTTACTTCTCTTTTTTGACTTCCCTCAGTTTGTCTGCCATTCCTTCCTATTATAACTTTTTACACATTTCTGCCCTTTTAACCCTTTCCCCTCACAGAGCTTCCTTAAAGCTTACAAACGTAATTTTATTATCACTCAGTTTTTGCATATATTGGATAAACTTTTCCCAATCTTCTGTAAATCTTTGATCTCGTCGATTCCGGATCCTTCCTGTCATTCTGTCCAGTTCTGCATAATCCATCATTTTAGTTCTCCATCAATATTCTGGCTGCTGTCACTGCATATAAAAATAACTTCTTTTCTTTCTTATTTATCTCATTACCTAGTAATGCCTAGTAAAAATGCTTCTGGTTTCTTAACAAATGTATATTTCAACATTTTCTTCAATTCATTATAAATCATTTCCCAAAAGCATTTTACCTTCTTACATTCCCACCATCTGCCACTGAGCTATAGGTTTTCCTCCTAAAGGGGAGAAAGAGGTACAGGGATTAGGGTGGAGGGCAACCCCTCCCCCAAGAAACCTCACAGGGACTAGGAACACAAGCTATGTTATTTGGGCAGAAAGAGTGGCCATATCAGGGATTTGGGAAACCTCAAGGGCATGGAGAAGATTTGAAATTAGCTGCCATAACTTCTCTAGCAGCCAACAAATAGGAGCCCTTCTACAGTTCAGAATACAAATTTCTGTAATCTGATCCATCCTTGCAGATATCAGTCCTAATTTCCCTTTTATTATTATTTCCTTTTCAAATTGGTGCTCCCGCCGCAGACAACGCCATAGAAGCAATAGACGAGTTTGCGTTTCTGGAAGGTAAGGTTTGGTTTCAAGTTTTCTTGGTGGTGTTGCTGCCTTGTCAGAATGGTGAGCTAGCCTTACCTTGTGTCCCGGTCCGGTTCACGGGCGATCGAAGTCCCAGCAGGGGACGTCAGGACCAGGGGCAAGATGGCGGGGAGGGAGCAGGAACGGGGGTCGAGGAGCCAAGAGTCTGAGGGTCAGAGAGCCGGGAGTTACGAAGCCAAGGGTCCGGGGGTCAGGAAGCAAGGAGTCATGAAGTCAGGGTTCCGCGGATCAAGAAGCAAGGAGTCACAAAGTCAGGGGTCTGAGGATCAAGAAGCAAGGAGTCATGAAGTCAAGGGTCCGAGGATCAGGAAGCAAGGAGTCACGAAGTCAGGGGTCCGAGGGTCAAGAAGCAAGGAGTCACGAAGTCAGGCGTCCAAGGATCAAGAAGCAAGGAGTCACAAAGTCAGGGGTCTGAGGATCAAGAAGCAAGGAGTCATGAAGTCAAGGGTCCGAGGATCAGGAAGCAAGGAGTCACGAAGTCAGGGGTCCGAGGGTCAAGAAGCAAGGAGTCACGAAGTCAGGCGTCCAAGGATCAAGAAGCAAGGAGTCACAAAGTCAGGGGTCTGAGGATCAAGAAGCAAGGAGTCATGAAGTCAAGGGTCCGAGGATCAGGAAGCAAGGAGTCACAAAGTCAGGGGTCTGAGGATCAAGAAGCAAGGAGTCATGAAGTCAAGGGTCCGAGGATCAGGAAGCAAGGAGTCACAAAGTCAGGGGTCTGAGGATCAAGAAGCAAGGAGTCATGAAGTCAAGGGTCCGAGGATCAGGAAGCAAGGAGTCAGGAAGTCAGGGGTCCGAGGGTCAAGAAGCAAGGAGTCACGAAGTCAGGCGTCCAAGGATCAAGAAGCAAGGAGTCACAAAGTCAGGGGTCCGAGGATCAAGAAGCAAGGAGTCACAAAGTCAGGGGTCCGCGGATCAAGGAGTCAAGGAGCCAAATGCAGCAAGGCAGGGAACGTGTTGCTGTGGCAAAGAGCCAAAGGGAAATGCTGACCTTATAGTCCTTCCCAGCTCTTGCCGCCAAGTGCTGTGAGTTACCAATCGGCCTCACCTGTGCGGCCGCACCTTGCCTCTTCAGAACAAACTTAGGAAGGCCCCAGTCCTGCAGAGTCCTACTGGTCACAGGGCCTGGCTCCTGCACGCACACCTGACACCTTGGCTCTGAATTCCAGGTGCGTGAAAGTCAGGCTCCAGTTCAGATGGAGAGTCACTTTGGTCACATCTACGGCATACATTTAAAGCACACGGCTTCCCCCCCAAGAATCCTGGGAACTGTTAATTTGCCATCCGCAGAGCTATAATTCCCGGCGCCCTGAACTAACTACAGTTCCTGCCATTCTTTGGGAGAAGCCATGAACCTCAGAGGTGTATAGTCCATGTGAAGCCAGCAATTTCTGTGTAGGTCAGAATTAAAGTCAAGGCCAATGTGAATGCCATCCAGAAATGGTTGGAGTCCATTCTTCCATCAGTCCTAGCAGCTATCATAACCAGCAGCCAGGGATTATGGGAGTTGGAGTCCAGGAAATATCACGCCCTCTCACATACCCTTTTCCCAGTGCCTTAATGGATGTGTGTGTGGGTTGGATCCTTTAATTGCTCCAACAGTGTGTTGTTTGGGGGATTGTGGGCATTTGAGATGGTGTTTGAAAACCTTTTGATGGCAACTTGAGATATAAAGGAGCAATTTGTTTGGTTGGCTTTGGGTTTAAGAGCTAAGGTCTCCAAACAACAATACAGTATCTGGAGGATAGGCTAGGAATGATGGGAGTTGTAGTCCAACCCTTTGGGCCTTGAAGGTTCATAATAGTTGAAAAAAATGAATTAAACCTTTCACATTCCACGGTGTGTGTGTGTTTTGATGTTTTCTTAGTCTTCTTAAGTACCGTATTTTTCGCCCTATAGGACGCACTTTCCCCCCTCCAAAAATGAAGGGGAAATGTGTGTGCGTCCTATGGGGCGAATGCAGGCTTTCGCTGAAGCCTGGAGAGCGAGAGGGGTCGGTGTGCACGGGCTCCCACGGCTTGCGGAGAGTTGCCTGCATGCTGAAGCCTGGGCGCGCTGAGCTGAGCTCAGCGCGCCCAGGCTTCGAGCTTTGCGCAGCTCTCCGCAAGCCGTGGGAGCCCAGCGCCGGGCTCCCACGGCTTGTGGAGAGTTGCCTGTTCTGGGGGCTGGGGTTGGGGGAAGCTCGGGCTTCCCCTGCCCCAGCCCCGTGCCTGGGGGGGGGGAATAATTCCCCCCTTTATTCCCCCCCCAAAAAACCTAGGTGCACCTTATGGGATGATGCGTCCTATAGGGCGAAAAATACGGTATGTTTTATGCTTTAGCACATTGACTTGTAACAACCTGAATGCTGAGAAGCAGAACAGAAGCCAAGGCACAATTGATAAAAATGGATAAATTTAGATCCCTTTCTAAAGGGATGAATGTGAACTGGAATTAGTTCTTCTTTAAAATGAACTTTCCAAGCTATGTCCAGGCCAAATGTAAATCTGTTAAAATGGTAGCTGCTGCCTTGATTCGAAAACCACCTATTTTCATTTCACGGTCTGCCTGCTCCTCTGTTTAATTCTGTAGGTACTCTGGACTGACGCAAGAAAGGGGAATCCCTGGAAGGAGAGATTGGAACAGAACGTGCCGTGCAAAAGGCACAGAAGGAAACGTCCCCAGGGAGATGAAGGGACTGTTTCTGCTTGCCAGACCTGGTGGATTTGAAATGGCCCTGAATTTGAAACAGGCTCTGTTGTAAATTCCTTTGTATATACCCCAACCCTTGTGGTTTCTCCCAAGTCTGTATGTCATTTTGTACTCTAAATACATACATCTTTTTTCCACACCTCTGTTGTGCAGTACAGTGTTGTGTATGTTACCGCTTGGCCACCTGGCCTCTACCTTGCAATTACCGTATTTTTTGCACCATAACACTCACTTTTTTCCTCCTAGAAAGTAAGGGGAAATGTCTGTGCGTGTTATGGAGGGAATGCCTACCGGGGGGGGGGTCTGCTGCAGTCGTGAGCAGAGGATCCATGGTTCCCCTTCCTTCCCTCCTCCATGGCTTGCTTTGAAACAGCAAAGCGGGAGAAGAGTCGCTGAGTGGGGAGGAGAGAGGGAAAGAGAGCCCGCTTCTTTAAAGGAGCAAAGCGGGAGAGGAGAGGAGCCTTCTCCCCTTATACCCCTCTTCTGCATTATTAGCAGCATCCTTCTCCACACACCCCACGCATGCTCCTTGTCCCTTGAGTGCTTTTCCTTCCCTCCCCACTTAAAACGTGGTTACAAAGCACGGATCCACATGGATCCTCAGGATTTTTGCATTGGGCTACTCCAAACTCACTGTCAGATCACATGTCTGTGGCCACAGCATGAACCACAAAAATCATACATCTACTGTTTCGTTTAGAATATTTTTTTCTTCTTGTTTTCCTCCTCTAAAAACTACGTGCGTGTTATGGTCGGGTGCGTGTTATAGAGCGGAAAATACGGTACTAATATAACACACGCATTGGTACATTTTCATTAAAACATTGTCATCAGAAGTGGCCGTGATTAAAACACGCAGTTTCAACGGCCCCGTTAAAAACAGTGCCGCAATTAAAACAGGTGACTTGGGGTCAAAGAAATCGAGGGGATGTGTGTGTGTAAAAAAATTAAGGCTGGCAGGATGCCAATGCAGATAGGAGCATCTCATATTTCAGCAGGGCGTGGATTTCACAGCAATGATGCTACTGGTGAAAAAGCCTGCCTGTGTGCCGCTGATAATCATTGAGCCATTGTAAGACGAACCAGGTTGCATTGGGAATGTTGATTCTCAAGATCCATGCCCACCTTGTTGTTCTTTAAATCTCTGCTCTCGTTAAGCATTTGTGGAGGCTGGTAATGATCTTTTTCTATCTCTGGACTCCTGGTCTCATTGCTTGGTTCCCTCTCCCTATCGCTGGGTAACAGCAAACATACTTCCTTTTTTCGGATTTCTTTCATTTCAAGATTCAGTTACATTTTATCACTCAACAGCTATAACCCTTAATTCTACAATGCTAATGACTTCCTTCTCACCCGCCCTTTATAATCACGATTACATACAATTGTGTCTTAAAATACCCAGTTTCATCCTCTTTAACAGGTTTCTCAATGTAGTCTGCCATTTTTTCCCTTAAAACTCCAAACCCCGCTGTGGACTTCGCCTACGGAGAATTATTTTTTTAATAGACTGGAAAACATTTCCCATCCTCATTGAAAGAATCTAGATTTGTGTCTCTTATCAGTTTGGCAGTCTCTGCATATTCCATGATTTTCATCAGCCATTCTTCTTTGGAGGGTATTCTTTATTCCTTCCACTTCTGTGTGTAAAGATTTTTGCCGCTGTGGTTACATACATAAATACAGTTGAAGCTCCCTTTGGAATTTTGCTGTCCAGTATCTCCAGCAGGAAGGTCTTGTGAAAAGTCATGTTTATCTTTTTTTTTATTTTTTAACTTCATTATATATCATGCCCCCAAAGGGAAATATGTTTTCTGAGTGTTTTTACCTTTACTTTGCCTTCACAAAAACTTTGGGCTCTTTAGCACTTGCAAAGATAGTGGAGATTATGGTGACAATGTTTATATTATGCATTAAAATACAGTGGTACCTTGGTTTAAGTATTTAATTCGTTCCAGAGGTCCGTACTTAACCTGAAACTGTTCTTAACCTGAAGCACCACTTTAGCTAACGGGGCCTCCTGCCGCTGCGCTGCTGGAGCATGATTTCTGTTCTCATCCTGAAGCAAAGTTCTTAACCTGAAGCACTATTTCTGGGTTAGCAGAGTCTATAACATGAAGCATATGTAACCCGAAGTGTATGTAACCCGAGGTACCACTGTATATGAGCTGCTTTCAAAGCGACTTGCGATATATAAACACATACATTGAAATACGCATTTTAAAAAAATATCCAAAAGCCAATCCTATATTTAAAAAGGCAGGATCAAAACATCTCTCCTACCCACCCAAGGAGGCCACAGATCATTAGAAGCCAAAGGCCTGACAGAAATAATAAGTTTTGGCCTGGTACCTAAAGCTAAAACGAGCCAGCATTCCACAAGTGGGGAGCCACCAGCGAAAAGGCCCCGTTCTCGTGTTGCCATGCATTGGACCGCACAAGGAAGGGGCAAATGAAGAAGGGCCAGCAATGACCACTGCAGGGTCCGGGTCGATTCATGTGGAAAGAGGCGGTCCTTGAGGCATTGGGATCCTGAGCCTCATAAAGATGCTATTGCTCAAAACCAGGAGATAGTGGAGACAGTGTCTGAACTCCCAAGTTGCTATATGGGGCTTCAGGCTCTCCTAGCCTATCTGGTGATGCTAGTAACAGAAGGCATATTCTATACCACTGATCTATGCTCCTTAAAATACTTGTGCAGTGGTACCTTGGTTCTCAAACTTAATCCGTTCCGGAAGTCTGTTCCAAAACCAAAGCGTTCCAAAACCACTGTTTCCACCACTGGAATGCCTTGAGTAAGGGGGCCTCTGAGCGTCAGCAGAGCATTCTCCTATCCGCTAGGTTTCAGTCCTGGAATCGGAGACAATTCCCCCACCCCCAAACAAAGCATCACATAGAATCATAGAGTTGGAATAGACCACAAGGGCCATCGAGTCCAACCCCCTGCCAAGCAGGAAACACCATCAGAGCACTCCTGACATATGGTTGTCAAGCCTCTGCTTAAAGACCTCCAAAGAAGGAGACTCCACCACATTCCTTGGCAGCAAATTCCACTGTCGAACAGCTCTTACTGTCAGGAAGTTCTTCCTAATGTTTAGGTGGAATCTTCTTTCTTGTAGTTTGGATCCATTGCTCCGTGTCTGCTTCTCTGGAGCAGCAGAAAACAACCTTTCTCCCTCCTCTATATAACATCCTTTTATATATTTGAACATGGCTATCATATCACCCCTTAACCTCCTCTTCTCCAGGCTAAACATGCCCAGCTTCCAGGCCTTTGACCATTTTGGTTGCCCTCCTCTGGACACGTTCCAGTTTGTCAGTGTCCTTCTTGAACTGTGGTGCCCAGAACTGGACACAGTACTCCAGGTGAGGTCTGACCAGAGCAGAATACAGTGGCAGAATACATTCACACCCAAAGCGCAGCTGGCGAGTTATTTTGATCGTCGAAAACAGCGAAGCAGAGTTCGTAGTGGGAAATGGGCATCAAGAAGTAAGTGAGAAGGGTTTTATTGTTTCAGAGAAAAGGAGAAGTGGGCAACTCACCTTGTTTCAAGATGAGCCACGACTTTATATTTGATGAGAGTAAAATGGAGGAGGGGGCCGTTTTTCGATTCCTTTGAAAAGAAGCTGACGCCCCTAACCCCCTACTTGCGATCACTGGTGGTCAGAATGAGGACGTTTCTCTTAGGCAGAGAATGAGGTCCTTTTGCCACTTGAGTTCTGATCTTACGATACGATAATCTTTATTGTCATTGTCCCATACAGAACCACAAAATTGAAAAATCTACGTCAGACATTGAAAAGCCAACTAGCCTGCTATCCCAGCCTGGTTAGCCACCTAAAAACTCTGATACCCTATAATTGAATACAATATACTCACATAGAGACTACCTTACACTGCACTGAAAACAAAAATCGCATTTGGATAGAAACTGTTTCTCAGGCGGCTAGTCCTAGTCTTTATAACCCTGTACCTTCTTCCAGTATAGTTCTTCCGTATAGTTAAAGCCATGGTTTTCCCAGTAGTGATGTATGGAAGTGAGAGCTGGACCATAAAGAAGGCTGATTGCCGAAGAATTGATGCTTTTGAATTATGGTGCTGGAGGAGACTCTTGAGAGTCCCATGGACAGCAAGAAGATCAAACGCATCCATTCTTAAGGAAATCAGCCCTGAGTGGTCACTGGAAGGACAGATCATGAAGTTGAGGCTCCAAGACTTTGGCCATCTCATGAGAAGAGAAGACTCCCTGGAAAAGACCCTGATGTTGGGAAAGATTGAGGGCACAAGGAGAAGGGGACGACAGAGGGCAAGATGGTGGGACAGTTTTCTCGAAGCCACAAACATGAGTCTGACCAAACTGCGGGAGGCAGTGGAAGATAGGAGTGCCTGGCGTGCTCTGGTCCATGGGGTCACGAAGAGTCGGACACGACTAAATGACTAAACAACAACAACAACCTTCTTCCAGAAGGCAGAAGCTGAAAGAGATCGTTTCCGGGGTGCGCACTATCCTGCGCTATCTCTGCAGCTTTCTTATGGCACCTGACAGCATAGATTTGATCCAAGATGGGAAGAGTGCACCCAATTATTCTCTCCGCAGTCTTGACAACCCTGGACAGCATTGTTTTTTCCACTGACCATGCAGCTCCCAAACCACACACAAAGACCATAAGTTAATACACTCTCCACAGTGCAATGGTAAAATGCCATCAACAGGTCCTTTGAGAGGTTATTTTTCCGGAGGATTCTCAGAAAATATAACCTCTGCTGTGCTCTCTTCATCAGGTCTTTGCTGTTTTCTCCCTAGGTTAGGTCATCTCTCAACTCCATTCCCAGAAATGGAAACATTGCTTTTCTGCACAGATTCCGGAGATGTGGGAGGTTCTTCTGAGAGACAAAAGTGCAAGCTCAGCGGTATGGCTGGGGTAGTGGTGCATTTCATGTCCGCCTCTTCGTGACCCCTTGGACCAGAGCACGCCAGGCCCTCCTGTCTTCCACTGTCTCCCGCAGTTTGGTCAAACTCATGCTGGTAGCTTTGAGAACACTGTCCCACCATCTCGTCCTCTGTCGTCCCCTTCTCCTTGTGCCCTCCATCTTTCCCAGCATCAGGGTCTTTTCCAGGGAGTCTTCTCTTCTCATGAGGTGGCCAAAGTCTTGGAGCCTCAGCTTCATGATCTGTCCTTCCAGTGAGCACTCAGGGCTGATTTCCTTCAGAATGGAGAGGTTGGATCTTCTTGCAGTCCACGGGACTCCCAAGAGACTCCTCCAGCACAATGCTGAACTAGATGGACCAAATGCACCCCATCGTCTCTTGAGACAGACAGGTGCCAACGACAACAACAAGAGGAAGGCAGCTCTCTAGCTGATCTGCTGGGACTGGGAAGGGGAAGCAGGCATACTGGGCCATGAAAACCCCTGTGGCTGTAAGAGAGATTTCACCAGCTGCATTGCCCACGCGGCAAAGATGTTTTCTTTAAACTGCTAGGGCAATGCAAAACTTCCCCCTTTCGTTTTTCTTAGAAATGAAAATGTGCAAGCTGTAGAGTTTTAAGTTTGCTGAGCCCAGCGACCCAACCTTTCCGCCGGCGACTTTTCTTCTTGTGACTAAGTGTTGCCGTTTCATGCCCGAGATGTTGTGGTTTCTTTGAGGGGTGGGATGAGAGCTCCAATAGATATGTCATTTGCAAGGACTTTATAAAGCCTCTTTATAAAAGCAGCCCCTGCATTTCGTCTTCCTCTTTCATGGAGAAGCGCGGAGAGGTTCAAACAAGAAGCTTTCTTTAAATCCTTCAGTGGAGAGAGAGGTAAGATTTGTGTGTGTGTGGGGAAAAGTAATTTGGGGGGAGGGCGGGGGTAGGATCAGACTGCCATACATACCTTTGGGCTCTGTCCAAAGACTAACATCTACTGTCTGCTTTGACCTTAACACAGCCAATTATCATCTTTCCCTGCAAAACAGTGCTGTGAAGTTAGAGAGGATGTTGTTGTTTAGTCGCCAGGCACTCCTGTCTTCCACTGCCTCCCGCAGTTTGGTCAAACTCATGCTGGTAGCTTCGAGAACACTGTCCAACCATCTCGTCCTCTGTCCTCCCCTTCTTCTTGTGCCCTCCATCATTCCCAACATCAGGGTCTTTTCCAGGGAGTCTTCTCTTCTCCTGAGGTGGCCAAAGTCTTGGAGCCTCAGCTTCAGGATCTGTCCTTCCAGTGAGCGCTCAGGGCTGATTTCCTTCAGAATGGAGAGGTTTGATCTTCTTGCAGTCCATGGGACGCTCAAGAGTCTCCTCCAGCACCATAATTCAAAAGCATCCGTTCTTCGGTGATCAGCCTTCTTTATGGTCCAGCTCTCACTTCCATACATCACTACTGGGAAAACCAGAGCTTTAACTATACGGACCTTTGTTGGCAAGGTGATGTCTCTGCTTTTTAAGATGCTGTCCAGGTTTGTCTTCGCTTTTCTCCCAAGAAGCAGGCGTCTTTTAATTTCGTGGCTGCTGTCACCATCTGCAGTGATCATGGAGCCCAAGAAAGTAAAATCTCTCACTGCCTCCATTTCTTCCCCTTCTATTTGCCAGGAGGTGATGGGACCAGTGGCCATGATCTTCGTTTTTTTGATGCTGAGCTTCAGACCATATTTTGTGCTCTCCTCTTTCACCCTCATTAAAAGGTTATTTAATTCCTCCTCACTTTCTGCCATCAAGGTTGTGTCCTCTGCATATCTGAGGCTGTTGATATTTCTTCCGGCAATCTTCATTCCGGCTAGGGATTCAGAGCTACCATTCCGATTGCAGAAGGGAGAAGAAACGTGCTTTCTATTTGCGCTCTTGGGCGTGGGGGAAAAAGACTCGGCAGCAAAGGGTTAACCATCCTTCGCCCGCTTTAAAGATGGCCGCCGGGGCGTCAAGGAAACCACCAGGCGCCTGCGCAAACAAGCGAAGGACGCGGTTTGGCCCCCGCGGCTCGCCGTAGCCCCCGCCCATCCGGGGTTTTTCCCCCCTCCAAAGATGGCGGCGCCCAGGTCGGTCAGAGCTCGGCGGCTTTGGAACGGTCTGGCGACGGCCGCCGCCTTCCTCGTCATCCTCCCTCTCCTTCCCGCGGCGGAGGCCGGGGCCGAGGGGGACCAAAGCACGGCCGAGTTCGACGTGAGGCCCGGCGGAGCCGCCCACTCGTTCTCGAAGAGCCTGGTGAGAGCCGGACGGAGGTGGCGGCCGCTGGTTGGCTGAGGCGCGCCTGACCCGGGGGACGGGGCAGCGCTCTGATTGGCTAGAGCGAAGCCCCGGGCGGGGAGGGCGGGGCGTGTCCCTTCGTGGCACCCGTAGTTAGGGGAAAACTTTAGTTCTGTTGAGCTTGGCACCTCTCTGCCTAGATGTGTGAGCGCTTCTCATTTCTGTTAGTTAGTTAATTAATTAACCAATTAATTAATTAATTAATTAATTAACTAATTAATTAATTTTTTCAAATAATATTTATTATTTTCAGTTGATAAGCATGGTAAAGAAAGAAAAGATTAACAATGATAAAGTCAAACAAAAAAGAAATGAAAAGAAAAAAAGATACATACAACATATGACCACTTAATTAATTAAAATTAAGTACCATCCATCTTCATAAACATAGTATTTGACTTCCTCGAATCTCTTCCATCCGAATTTCTTAGTAAATTGTATGTGGCAGTTTCCAATATCAGTGATAATTTGAAACATTAATTAATTTTAAGCACGCTCTTACCAATTGTTTCATTTTGTTGCTTGTTTATTGTTTTGATTGCATTTATTGATTGCAGTAATTTCATCTATTTTGTTTTATTTATTTATTTTTATCCTTTTTTCAATACCGGCACCAACCACAAAAACACATACAAACAAAACCACAATAAAACTAATAATGCAATTTAACAATTCAGATTTGAGTACTGATATACCTATAACTACACCCTTTTAACAATATTTCCCCACCTCTCCTCCACCTACTTCCCAATACTTTCCGCCTTATCGCTTAAGTATTCCTTCCAGATTTCTTCATATTTATCCATTCTCAATTTGCGTCAATATGCAATTCGTTCGTATGTAACTAGTCTGTCCATATTGTCAACTTATTTATTTATTGCAGCAATTGCATTTTTTGCATTTACTTATTGCAGTAGTTGCATTCATTTATTGCGCATATTTATTCATTTATTGCGTTCATTCGTTTATTACGTTTATTTATTGCAGTGAATGCATTTATTTATTGCACGTATTTGTTTACTTGTTGCAGTACAGCGGTACCTCAGGTTACATACGCTTCAGGTTACATACGCTTCAGGTTACAGACTCCGCTAACCCAGAAATATTACCTCGGGTTAAGAACTTTGCTTCAGGATGAGAACAGAAATCGTGCTCTGGCGGCGCGGCAGCAGCAGGAGGCCCCATTAGCTAAAGTGGTGCTTCAGGTTAAGAACAGTTTCAGGTTAAGAACGGACGTCTGGAACGAATTAAGTACTTAACCTGAGGTACTACTGCATTTGCATTTGTCTCCCACCTTTCCTTCCATGGAGCTTCAAGGCGGTTCACGTGGTTCTCCTAACCCTCCTCATTTTATCACCACAACAGCCTTGTGAGGTAGGGCTGGGCCGAGAGAAGGCAGTGACTGCCCCCCCCTCCAGGTCACATCTAGAGAGCTCCATGTTTCCAATGAAGTGGTTGCTGATGCATCCAGCCTCAAAGTGATTAATACTCTGCAGTCCTTTTGCTGCAGCCAACAGACAATGCCTCTTGCAGTGGAGCCATTTGAACCCTGGCTTCTGCCAGGCCCTAGTCCGACACTCTATAACCGTTACCCCACACTGGCTCTGGGAGAGTTTTCATATTACAGTGGTACAGTGGTGCCTCGCAAGACGAAAATAATCCATTCCGCGAGTCTCTTCGTCTAGCGCTTTTTTTGTCTTGCGAAGCAACCCTATTAGCGGCTTAGCGCTATTAGCGGTTTAGCGGTTTAGCGGCTATTAAAGGCTTAGCGGCTTAGCGGCTTAGCGGCTAAAAGGCTATTAGCGGCTTAGAAAGGGGGGGGGGAAGAGAAAAAAATCGCAAGACTTGCAAGACGTTTTCGTCTTGCGAAGCAAGCCCATAGGGAAATTTGTCTTGCGAAGCAACTCGAAAATAGAAAACCCTTTCGTCTAGCGGGTTTTTCGTCTTGCGAGGCATTCGTCTTGCGGGGCACCACTGTACCTTGGGTTACATACACTTCAGATTACATACGCTTCAGGTTACAGACTCCGCTAACCCAGAAATAGTGCTTCAGGTTGAGAACTTTGCTTCAGGATGAGAACAGAAATCGTGCTCCGGTGGCGCGGCAGCAGCGGGAGGCCCCATGAGCTAAAGTGGTGCTTCAGGTTAAGAACAGTTTCAGGACCTCCGGAACGAATTAAGTACTTAACCCGAGGTACCACTGTATATATTCATTATATTTTATATTCACACTTCAGTGTTCGTTTTCTCGCCTCCTCTTTTGATAACCTGTTAACCAGCGCTGTCCCATGGAAGAAAGTGCTGAATGTTTTAAAGCCCTCGTTTCTGTTCCTTTCTTTCCTTCAGGGAGACTACACCTGCACCTTCACCTATGCTGCTCAAGGTGGGACCAACGAAGTGAGTTGTGTTAATCCTAAGGCCAATTTGACTTAGCTTTCCCCCCCAGCTACTGCCCTTAATTCTGAATCTGGAGCGACACTCTTCAATTCTATAAGGTGGAACACTTAACATTTTCCTAAACTGTTACATTTGGTGTGAGGCATTGCTGCCATAGGCATTGTGAGGTGGGGTAGAGGGGGAGAAATTTTTTCCCCTCCCCACCCGCAGTGTATGTGTGGGGTTTTATGTCAGCATCACATCAATAGGTTCTTCATCTGTTCATTTAATAGTCTTCATTGCTGGTGAGAGAGATTGGGGTACCCAGAGCGTGGTTGGGGGGCGGGCTAGTGTGGAGGACTCCCTGGTCCTGAATGGGGTAACTGTGCCCCTGAAGGACCAGGTGCGCAGGCCGGGAGTCATTTTGGACTCACAGCTGTCCATGAAGGCACAGGTCGATTCTGTATGCAGGGCAGCTGTCTACCAGCTCCATCTGATACGCAGGATGAGACCCTCCCTGCCCACAGACTGTCTCGCCAGAGTGGTGCATGTTCTGGTTATCTCCCGTTTGGACTACTGCAATGCGCTCTCCGTGGGGCTACCTTTGACGGTGACCTGGAAACTACAACTAATCTAAAATGCGGCAGCTAGACTGGTGACTGGGGGCGGCTGCCGGGGCCACATAACACTGGTCTTGAAAGACCTACACTGGCTCCCAGTACGTTTCCGAGCACAATTCAAAGTGTTGCCCTTAAAGCCCTAAATGGCCTCGGCCCAGTATTTCTGAAGGATCATCTCCACTGCCATCATTCCACCCGGACGCTGAGGTCCAGCGCCGAGGGCCTTCTGGCGGTTCCCTCATTGTGAGAAGCAAAGCTACAGCGAACCAGGCAGAGGGCCTTCTCAGTAGTGGCGCCCGCCCTGTGGAACACCCTCCCATCAGATGTCAAAGAGATAAACAACTACCTGACATTCAGAAGACATCTGAAGGCAGCCCTGTTCAGGGAAGTTTTTAATGTGTGACATCTTAGTGTATTTTTGGTCTTTGTGGAAGCTGCCCAGAGTGGCTGGGGAAACCCAGCAAGATGGGCGGGGTAGAAATAATAAATCATCATCATCAGTTGAATTTGGTAGATTGCCATGAGTTTTATTTGTGTGTGAGAGGGGGTGGGAGGTTGTTGGGTCAAATTAGCCATATTGATTTGTATCAATAAACCCCAGTTGTGGGGTTTATGTTGTTGTCTTGTTGGGCTGTGTATGTAATAAAAGGGAGCCACAATGGGGTTGAGACATTCTCTGTTGTTTGTCTCCTGCTGATTTCAATTTGTTGGTTAGCTTTCCTAGTAGCGGCTGCAGTTTGCTCTCGGCTAAGGTTTATCTGATCGGCAGATCTTGCCTATCTGATAGGCGAGTGCGGGCCTAAATGCTGAGATTGACTGTTATTCCTTTTCCCTTCCAAGAAATGGCAGATGAGCATTGGGATCAGTGAAGATAACCTGCTGTTTTCCTGTTCCATCTGGAGGTGAGTACAGTTTTCTGCCCTTTATAAAAGTACAGATCTTTCTCTTTGCAGCTTACACATATGTGATTTTCCATATCCTTGCTCCCTGAGTTTCAGGGAGTTGCAGCTCTCGAAGGCACCTCCCTGGTTCTAAAAGGGTTAATCCAGAGGGCTGTTCTCCTCTGCCCTGGCCACAGTCCCGGATGGGAGAGGAGAGATAGCTACATTATTAGCCAACATGCAGTCTGTGGCGGGTTCTAAATCACACAAATAGCCTCTGCGACTACAGCGGGCTCCCTGCCGTGCATGTTCAGTGTGGGGTGGGCTGTGAGGCTCCCCTAGTTTAAGCACCTTAACATCTCCTCTTAATCACCCAGCCCGGCATCTTTGCATAAGTAAAGGACCCTTGGATGGTTAAGTCTAGTCAAAGGCAACTGTGGGGTTGCGGTGCTCATCTAGCCTTCAGGCCGAGGGAGCCGGCGTTTGTCCGCAGACAGCTTTCTGGGTCATGTGGCCAGCAGGACTCAACTGCTTCTGGCGCAACGCGACACTGTGACGGAAACCAGAGCGCCGTTTACCTTCCCGCCAGAGCGGCACCTATTTATCTACTTGCAGTGGTGTGCTTTCAAACTGCTAAGGTTGGCAGGAGCAGAGGGACAGAGCAATGGGAGCTCACCCCGTCACGGGGATTCAAACCACCGACCTTCTGATCGGCAAGCCCAAGAGACTCGGTGGTTTAGACCACAGCGCCACCCGCATCCCTACATATAACCCGCATACAACCTCTGCTGTGGCTTTACATTTTGTCCTTTCCTTTCATTTCCAAGGCCCCAAGGGAAGTCTTACCTCTTCTTCACCCAGTTTAAAGGCGAGGTCAAAGGAGCGAAGATCGAGTATGGCATGGCCTACGTAAGTCTTTTCTGTTTCTAGGGTGCGGTGGGGGGGGCTGGCCTAAGGTCTCCTGTTTGACCCCTGGCATCTCCACATAGAAACGGCCCTGTCTAAATTTCTTTTTTTTAAAAAAATAATATTTATTAAAGTTTCAAACAAAATTACAATAATACAAAAAAGAGAAAATAAAAAGAGAAAATAAAATACAAAAAACCAGAAAAAATAGAATAACAATTAAAAACAAATCAGTCTTTCCATATCTTGTCTTTCGTTCACTTGTTTCCCGGACCTCCTCACACCTCCCTTTTTTGCATCCCAGATCAGTTAATTAATTCAGCAAATCCTTTCCCTTTTTGTTCTTATCTTAATCCTTAATCTTAGTATATTCGTTACTTCAAGTTCCCATCTATTAACAATCCATTTTTACATAAACCTTAATAACATTGCTGCTAAAACCACTTAACTTCATTCCAACATCATTCTAACATTCATTAATTTTACAATATTTCTGTAAATAGTCTTTAAATTTCTTCCAATCTTCTTCCACCGACTCTTCTCCCTGGTCTCGGATTCTGCCGGTCATCTCCGCCAGTTCCATATAGTCCATCACCTTTATCTGCCATTCTTCCAGTGTGGGTAAATCTTGTGTCTTCCAATACTTTGCAATAAGTATTCTCGCTGCTGTTGTAGCATACATAAAGAAAATTCTATCCTTCTTTGGCACCAATTGGCCGACAATGCCCAGGAGAAAGGCCTCTGGTTTCTTCAGGAAGGTATATTGAAATACCTTTTTCATTTCATTATATATCATCTCCCAGAAAGCCTTAATCCTTGGGCACGCCCACCAAAGGTAAATTTCATTGTGTTTATTCATAGCAGTGTTTGTATGCTGCTGCATCATAAAAAAAATACAAATAAAAACATATCAGAAGTGTTTACAGCAATAAAACCACACAACAGAAACCATAACAATATTAAAAACAGAGACCAATTGTTCTTAGTTATTGGATACGTTATTCAATTGTATTCTTTTTTAATTAATTCATTTAACATAATTATTACAAAATATAAGCAAAATATTGCAAATACATATATAAAGGTAAAGGTAGAGGGACCCCTGACTATTAGGTCCAGTCGAGAGATCACAAGGAAATGTTAAATACTATCTTTCATTGCCATCCTTCCTTTCCTGTTTATGACCTCCGGGATTTGCTAAATGCATTCCGCATTCCTCCTTGATTCCTGTTTTATTTACCTGGACATGTAAAGGTAAAGTGACCCCTGACCATTAGGTCCAGACGTGACTGACTCTGGGGTTGCGACGCTCATCTCGCTTATTGGCCAAGGGAGCCGGCGTACAGCTTCCGGGTCATGTGGCCAGCAGGACTAAGCCGCTTCTGGCGAACCAGAGCAGTGCACGGAAACGCCATTTACCTTCCCGCTGGAGTGGTACCTATTTATCTACTTGCACTTTGCTGTGCTTTCGAACTGCTAGGATGGCAGGAGCAGGGACCGAGCAACCGGAGCTCACCCCGTTGCGGGGATTCAAACCGCCGACCTTCGGATCGGCAAGTCCTAGGCTCTGTGTTTAACCCACAGCGCCACCCGCGTCCCTAAATACATACATACATACATACATATTTCAGATGAGCACATACATACACACACATATATATATATAAAGAACAAAAGAGAAAAGGAAAAAAGAAGAAGGAAAGTTGGAAGAATTTCTTCCAAATTTAGTCTACAAATATCTCAATATGAAAATAATTGTATTCTTATTGGCCGTCAGAGGTCTGATAGGATAGAAAAGGTATCATCAGGTATTTGAAAGTTGGCACAGGAGGTACCTGCTGAATCTCTTTTGGCAGGGAGTTCCACAGGATTGGGGCGATTCTTGCTATTATCAAATGAGCCTCCCCCACCCCTGTAGTGATCGTGTTGGGATATCAGGGTTTGGGCAGTCCCTGGACCTAAGTTGTGCAGGGCTTAGTAGATTAGCCCGGAATGGGGCAACTGTGCCCCTGAAGGACCAGGTGCGCAGCCTGGGAGTCATTTTGGACTCACAGCTGTCCATGGAGGCGCAGGTCAATTCTGCATCAGGGCAGCTGTCTACCAGCTCCATCTGGTACGCAGGATGAGACCATACCTGCCCGCGGACTGTCTTGCCAGAGTGGTGCATGCTCTGGTTATCTCCTGCTTGGACTACTGCAATGCGCTCAACGTGGTGCTACCTTTGAAGGTGACCCGGAAACTGCAACTAATTCAGAATGCGGCAGCTAGACTGGTGACTGGGAGCGGCCGCCAAGACCATATCACCAGTCCTAAAGACCTACATTGGCTCCCAGTACGTTTCCGGGCACAATTCAAAGTGTTGGTGCTGACCTTTCAAGCCCTAAAC